GCGTTCAGCAGAAGTTGGCGCTTGCTAAGCGCTTTGCGCTCATTGGATTAATTATACTTTCACATGATCACATCTGTGCTAAAATAGAGCTTTTTTAAATAATTAATGGGTTAACTGTTCTGTAAAGCAGATAATTTTCCATCATTTGTAAGTCCATACGCACACAAGAATATTGTGCTTTACAGAAATACGCAAACCCGATACAAAATGTGTCCGATCGGGCCTGGGGAGCGATCGCGTGCACGATCGAATTCGATCGGTCGACTTCTCATACGTCTCTACTCTACAGGTTTCATGGTTCATGCTTATTTATTATAGGATAGTTTCTCCCAGACCATAGATTGATCATGTACGAAGAGTAGTATCGGATGGCATATTCCTTCTCGAATTCGAATTCGATCGGTGCACGTGATCGCTCCCCAGTGTCCGATCGGACACAAGTCCGATCGGGCACATTTTGTACCGGATTTGCGTATTTCTGTAAAGCACAATATTCTTGTGTACGTATGGACCTTAGAACATATATGATATGGAAGGGGAATAGGGAATTGAAATGTGTCCGGAGGAAGTGAGAAAGAAAATCGTAGTGGCCTAGCTCTCTCTTGTGAGCAACTACTCGAAAGTGCGCATGCGCGCCATTTCAATAGTTAAATGTATTATACATTCACACACACACCGATGCTTGTGTGACAGCAAATGGCGCGCATGCGCACTTTCGAGTAGTTGCTCACAAGAGAGAGGCCACTACGATTTTCTTTCTCACTTCCTCCGGACATATTTTTCTCTCGAAAACAGTAGGCATTCCCCTTCCATATCATATATGTTCTAAGGAAAGCACCCACGGGCTTTAATTCGCGTTGGTGAAACCGGGCCATAGTGGTCTGTGGACTCCTTGGTCTGATATTGGATATCCAGATTATCCAGAGGCAAGCATCATTTCACTTTCCAGAAGAATCTCTGCAGGTTTCACCTCACGCTGTTACGCTCTATCCAGGTATTCCTTATACCTATGATATCTTCTTAGGATAATATTTCATTTGTCGCACGACAAACGAATATTTTTAAATGTTGGTTGGTTGTAGGATATAGAAAAGTTCTCGAATCTTCTGGGTATTCATTCGTGTGCACTTTCTTGAGTGACATCGTTGAAGTCAGACGAACTGTGCTAACAAACTTGTGGTGGACAACTGTGTGCCCCAGACATCGTAGATCACTTCAAATTCGTGCAGCAGTAGTAGAATGGCGAAGCACTACGTTGCAGATTTACCATCGGAGAGAAATACTAATTCCGTTGTGAAAGAGACACAGGGCTGGAGTTATGTAGAAATGGAGAACATCAGCTACAAGTGGACGCTAAATAATTTCCCTATTACGAACCAGTATGAAATCAGGTCGAGTATATTTTCTACCACCGACGAGTCAAAATGGTGTCTGGTAGTAAACTTATTTTCTGGCATTGACTACAAGAACTACCTGTCATTATATCTTGCTCTTATTTCATCTAAGAAACGTACAGTCCCAGCAAAGTTCAAATTGTCTTTTCTTAATGCCACAGGGAAAGTAATACATACAAAAGAGAGCAGTTCTATTTATGAATTTATTAATGATTGTACTAATAAAGCTGACTGTACTCTCATTCAGTCTGGATTGGATGGACATCGTTCTGATTATAATTATTGCCAACACAAATTTGATGAATGGGGCTATGATAACTTTGTCAGTATCAATACTCTGCAAGCTAATGGATTGCTAGCGAATACAACAATATTATGTGAGATCAGCCTAGTAACAGACACGAGAAATATCTCTGACCGAAATCGTGCAGTATGGTTGGAAGTATCGGAGTGTGAGGTGCTCAACAACTTAGGACTGCTGTTGGAGAACGAAAAATTTTGCGACGTAATGCTTACTGTTCGTGGAAAGGAGTTCCAGGTGCATAAAGCAATTCTCGTAGCACAAAGTCCCGTCTTCAACGTAATGTTTGAAAACGAGATGAAAGAGAAAAAAACTAATCAAGTGGACATCGACGATATGGACCCCGAAGTCCTGGAAGAAATGTTGCGATTTATCTACACTGGTAAAGCGACGAATCTGGAAAAGATGGCGGACGGTTTGTTAGCTGCGTCGGATAAGTACCAGTTAAATACACTGAAAGTATTGTGCCAGGAAGCCCTTTGCAAAAGTTTAACTATTGAAAATGCGGCCGAAATCCTAATACTTGCCGAACTCCATAGTGCCGATCAGTTAAAAGCAAAAGCGATAGATTTTATTAATACATATACGGATGTGATGGACACTGCAGGTTTCAAGTCCATGAAGAAATCCTATCCGCACCTGATAATAGAAGCTTATTATGCTATACGAACCAATCCACCGGTTTCAGCAGAAAAATAAACAAAACCAGTGGCTGCTGATTGCACTAGGTATGACTTCCACACCATTTCCAATTATCTCTGATAACTTCGAATTATAAAGTGATACAATGGAATATACAATAGTAATAAGTGTTTCATCGTGCTCCACTCTATGGTCTAGAGTGGACAAACATTGAGGCGAGAATCACCCGGTCATCAAACTTTGGTTAAGAATGTTGAGAGATAGGAGAAGAAAGAAGATCTTGAACCATTTTGTGCGTTAAGTCGATCGAGGGTAAATTTCAAATCGTAATTTCACATACTCGGACTTCTTGTGCTCAAATAAATGTCGCTGGTTATAGAGAACTTGACGCAAAGCGATCACAATTAGCACGCTACTCATTTCATCTTTGCGCGTCGGACAGAAGAATTAGATATCTGAAAACCTACGTATTCTCATTTATATCTCCCTATTTCCATCAGCATGCAAACCATTGTTCTCGATCGGCCTAAGCGCAAGCAGATTCAAAGAAACAACAGCAGCGGCAGCGTCATAAAATCAT